TCATTATGCTGGTGGAGGACTCATGGTTTGGGCAGGAATCATGCAAGATACCCGCAAACCGCCCCCATCTTTGTTTGCTTTTTAGGTTAAATGGAGGAATAGTTTTGGAAACATCATCTATGGAAAGCAAGTAACATTTACGAACTTTCGATATTGTGATAACTATACAATTAGAATTTTGAATTAAAAATCAAATATTTACCAACAAAACAGCAAAATGAAATATTAATATATAGTTGGTTCTTGAAAAAAACCTTCTTTTAAAAATTGTAATATGTTATAAAAGGTTAAAATGAAACAGAAAAAATAGCATTAATGCAACAATTGTAACAATTTGTCGACAAACATTGCTGTTAGCGATTGTAAAAAAATGTGTGATTAGTTGGTTTGCTGAGAAAAAATAGTTCACAAATTTCTATGAATGGTAGTACAAAAGCTTCCAAAAAAAGAATGCAACATAAAATATATTATTATTAAATTATAACCAACTAATTTTTGGAGAATTTTATAAAGTTAAAAAAACAAAAACATTTTGAATCATTTCATCAAAATGGAAAACAATTACCACCAAAGCATCAGAACAAACTTGAGCCATAAATGGATTCAGTCCATGGACAGAATTTAAAAACAGAAGCAAATATCCTGTTATTATATAGCTTATATATTTTATCTAATATAATTTTTATATCATGAAGTAACTAAAATATAAATGCTTTTATTACATCACTTTATTTTTCAAATAATGTGACAAGAGGGAATTAATCAAATATTGATTTGAATCTTGTTTATACCTGTTAAGCAAAATTAGGAAAAAAATACACATTCTTCTGTGGAAGCCAGAAGGCGAAGTAAATAAATAATTGATTGGCTAGAATCATTTTATTAACTGAGTACGTAAAATGTACAGATAATTTTCAATTGATGGTATTTTTAAAAATGCATGCATTAGCCAAAGATTTGAAGGTAAATAGGCAGCTATACCGTTAATCTACACAGGACATAAAGTGTATAGAAAAATAGGAGGCATCATATTACGTATAGCTTAGATTAGTATATAAATTCGATATTTTTTTCTACTGAACCTAGGTAGAGAAACACTGGTGTTTGATAGTTCTAACTTAAAAAAAAGTAAGATTTTCTTCAAATTCAACTTACCCCTTGTTGAACAGCAGTCTGGACTTTAGCATCTTTCCCTGATGTATTTACAGATGATTTTGAAGTTTATTCAGAAGAATTAGACAATTCTTGAACTGTAACCTAAAATAAATAAAATTGAACAGTAAAAGCATTAGCAAATTTCAAAAATCTGCAAAAATCCCCATACTTTGCGGAATAAGGAAAAAAATAACCAGCAACATACTCCAAAACATTTGTTTAAGCATATACGTATAGCATTTATTGATTGCGTTCATGAAAATATTTTAGCTTTTAACAATGAATTCATGCTTTTTTTAGAGAAATAATATTTTAACATACATAGTCTAATAAATATAAAGTCTGGTTCTGGAAATTTTTAATATCATTAATGTCGAGAGCATTGCTCACAGATACAGCAGATAAATTTCTCAGTATTTTTGCATTTTTCTTGAAATATAGGGAAACAAATGTTATAATTCCATCATCACAGACTTAAACATAAGTGGAAGAACTAAATTTTCGTTTGAGTTTAACAAATGTGCTCAGCAAGATGAATCCCTATTATTTATGCTGTTCAATGTCACCTTACATTTGAGAATCACACCATTCGACAACTAGGAAATATATTCACAAAGTCAACAAAAGTCTGTGCCCATGCACACAATATAATAATTAATGCAAGAAAAAAAAGTATACTAATAGAACAAATAAAAGAAATTACAGGAAAAGCAAATGAAATAGGTCAAACCAAAATAAAATTCATGATAAAGACAAAGACAGAAGAGCAAACACAAATACATGGTCTAAAAATTGATAAAATTTTTTAGGGTACCTTTACTTATCACGTTCACGAAATGAACAATAAATGTGAAATTCCACGGACACAAAATGGAAATATTTGTAAATAATGATTACTAAAACGGAAATTAATTTCGAGAATATGTATAATATATAAAACCCTAATAAGACCAATAGTAACATATGGGTCTGAAACCTAGGCTTTCTTCAACAATATGAAAATATATTAGGAAATTTTGAACATAGTCAGGGTGCGTAGCCAAATCTTTGAATAAAAAATAAGCACTTTTTAAAAACTTTTCAAGCACTCAAAAAATCCATATTCAATCAATGATATTATTGAAAAACAAAAACTTTTTATAAACAGTTTTAGCATTGAGAAAAAATCAAAAAGATAGGAGCGTAAATCGAAACAATCATGACTTTCCCACATCACCGAGTGAATTCAACTTGACCCTGAACTCAGAACAAAAGTACCCTTACCCCCTACGTCAAAAAAAGTGTTAGAAGTAAAATAAAATAAACAAGAATAAAATTAAAATAAATTAAAAAGAAAAACATTTCATAAGGATCTGATATTCTCTATCTGAATTGGAGCACTCGGGTTTCGGTTACAAGTGTGCGCAAGTCATAACGTGGGTACGACATGAAGTCCGCGTGAATGATTACGTAGCAAACTCCCCATTTTTCGTGAAATGCATAGGATCTACCAGACATCACTGAAGGGGGAAAAAATTATTCGGAAAAATAGCACTTTTTAAAAACGCCAGCTGAAAAAATCACCTCTAAAAGCTTTTAAAAACGAAATCCCCCAAAAAGCACCTTTAAGTACTTTTTACAAACGCTACGCACCCTGATAGTATAATTAGAAGAATTTTTGAAGCCATTAGTTAAAGTAACGCATGGAGAAAAACATGCAACCACGAAATGGAAAAATTAAAAAGAAAAACATCATATGATTTATCAAAGCTAGAAGATTACAGTGGATAAGACATGCCTTAGAAAATCATGTAAGGAAAAGAGGAAGATCAAAGTAAAGATGGCTGGATCAGGTAGAGGAAGAAGCAGAAAAAAAATTAAACTGGAGAAAAGTGAAACTTTACTGTAGAGAAAGCTCACAGGTCTTTTGAGTTGGAAAAGAAGAAGTATAATTCTGATAATCTGACATGACTCTAAGAGTTTTAACCAATCATATCACAGGAAATTACTTGCCATCTTAATATTTTTTTAAAATCCATATAACATTTCTTCATAATTAGTAATAGTACTGATCATATGATGTATACATCATATGAATATAAATTATATTTCCCTCTGAATTCAACAAAAATACATTATCACATAATTTAATTGTGATTCATAAAGTATGATTCGGATAAGTACAGAAGCAAACCATGATGATCAACTGTAAATACCTATGCAGCGTAACAAAAGTAACAACTTTATTAAATCATTCACATAGATTTGAAATTTTTTTTATTTTTAAAAAAGCACTGTCGTTGTTGTTGTTCATTTACGTCACACTAGAGCTGCATAATGGGCTATTGGCGACGGTCTAGGAAACATCCCTGAGGATGATCCGAAGACATGCCATCACAATTTTGATCCTCTGCAGAGGGGATTGCACCCTCGCTTCGGTAGCCCGACGACCTGCACGAGAAGTCGAGCACTTTACAGTAGCACAGTTTAACGAGGACCAATACCGCACACCCTCGGTCCCTACACAGACTGATCCAAGTGGTCACCCACCCGCACACTGACTGCAGCCAGTGATGCTTGACTTCGGTGTTCTGATGGGAACCGTGTCTTAACGATCAGTCAACTGCGGAACTAAAAAGCACTGTCAGATTTGTTATTTTATATACATCTTTGAATTATCATGCTCTATTTTTCTACATGATATAAACTGTCATACAAACATGATATAAACTGTCATTTTATGATTGCAATAATGTATTTACTTTTAATAACTTAATTCAGAGTATAAAGCATAATCTTTTACAAAGTTTATCTAAAAGGTAACTAAGATAATCCATGGATTTTGATTTTCCAATATATCTGCAGTCTTTTGTGGATGTTAAATAATCAGGATTTTAACTATTATTTAGCTATTAGACAAGATATACGTAAAAATATTGGTCAATATCAACACAATAAATGAGTAAGAGACATTTAAAGTTAAAGGACAATAATTGAATAACCTCTTACTTTTACAACATCTAATTCTCCTGAGAAATTTTGAGCTGTTGTTCGTAGATTAGATTGTTGATCTTTGAGCTCTTTCACATTGCTTTCTAGAGCAGTCATTTTGCTTTCAAAGTTAGCAACACTCTAAGAATAAATAAAAAAGATTATTTACAGTACTTTTCTAAAAACAGAAATTACTGTACTCTTCACATAAATGATAGTAAATTTTTTAAAAAATAAACAAATACATTAATTAAAAATTTTATTCAATAAGTTCCAGTATTACCTTTCTTAAAATAGATAAAAGAAATACTTTAAACTAGGGGTGCAGCCCAAGACAATATCAAAAATATAATTTTTTTCAGAAAAAAGAATCCGAGAATTTTGAATTGCACGTTTAACTTTTTTCCAGTGTTTTTTTTTTCATTTTGTTTAATCGGTATTTTTTCTCTTTTTTTAATGAAAAGGAAATTTTAAAAAAAATATCAGTTTTGCATTTGTTGAATTTTAATTTATAATTTTATGTCTAATGTTTAAAATAATTTAATTTTATTGAGTTAACTGATAAAAAAAATTTAGTATCTAGTATATTGATGTTTCTGTACGAAAAATACTATAATTGCTAATATCTGTCTAAATACTTGGACAAGCAAATTGGTCAACCTGCTGTCCAAGTGGCCCTTCTCTTATAAAGATTGTGCACCCCTACTTTAAACACTTTTAGGTTTTTATAGGTATTTTAGGTGTGAAACTATCTTCCGCAGTTTTCCACCAAACGTTTTTTTACAGTTTCCAGTACGAATGATTTTGCTTTCAAAAAAGATGTCGATAAATTCTAATATAAGATATAGTGTTTTCTAAACTAACTTTTAGGATCTTCATTAAAAACTTCGGAGGTAAATTCATGAGGTCGGAAAATCATTGATAGAAATAGAAATGTTACTTAGTGAGATTTAGTTTCATTACACTAGTAATGATCTTTGTGCTTCAATTATAACAATTCTAATTTCAAGTTGCAGAATTAGAATTTTTAGATTATTCTAAATGAATAAAAATATCATTTCATCGGATACTGTACATTAAATGGTTATTTTCAAAGAGAGATGACCCATCTTGAGTACTTATGGTACAATAAAACTATGAAGAAGCAACACCAACAGTAATCACACTTTTTAAAGCTGGAAGCTAATAGTTTTAAAAATTGAGTTGACATAAGCAGCAGAAATGAGTTGTATTTTTGAGAATAGATAAGCTTATTTAATTTTGTATAATTATTATTATTTCAAATGATAATATTCCTCTGCATACTATTTGTTTTTGTAAGTTTATTCCAAAGTAAAATACTTAGAGGGAAAATTCAGGAATATTACAATATATTTTAACAGTAGAATGAAATGAAATTGTTTTAGTACATTAATACATTAACAGGCACAATTTTTTTTCATATTAATTCAAAAAATACATGGCATATACATTTAAACTGTAGATACTAATTAGTAAAATAATTTTTCATTGAATTAATATAATTTTTTAGCATAATTTTGCTCAGAATTGAGATTTTTTTTTGTTGGTACGAAAAGAAAGACCTAAATCGACATAAAATAGAAATACTTGACTAAAAACTCAGAGAGTTAGTTATTGGTCACATAAGTATATTTTTATCAATAGAACTATTTAATAAGGCATTAAAACTGCATTCTCAATGTATTTATTTCAAATATCAATAGGCATATAATTCATCAAACATTGTGAGAAGATTTTAAAATAATTTAAAAAGAGAGTTCTGAATAAAAATGAACTGTGTAAAAGGGTTTTGAACTGTTTTCTGTTAATGAGGTTTGCTTCATTGTGTATTAGTAATACTTATTTAAATCAAGCCTGTACAAAAATTCTATTTCATAGGAAACTAAATCAATTTTAGTGAATTTTCTAAAAAATACAAAAACTGGGAGAATTGAACCAGGAGAAGCTGGCAATAAGCACTTACATTCATCGAAGTAAAAAGTATGCATATAAATCTTAATCTAAAAGTCATTTCTTTAAACCATTATGCATAATTACTTAAACTATTAACACTCAACATACTGCAGCACTGGTCATATTCTCACACTGGTAATCTGTTCAGAGATAAAAGAATTATTTTTGCCATCAGTGGATATTTGATCGCCCAAAAGTTTTTTTTTTCAAACTTCTTCGACAAATACGGAGAAATTTGGGAATATAGGGGTAAACAGGAGATAGTCGTAAAATACAGGAGTCTTCTTTACAGGTATATATATAAATAATAACCTTAAGACATATTCCTCTAAAGGGTTCCCACTTAAAACCAGAAAGAAATTTCCCTGGCTTGTTCAGACATTTCAAGTAAATTTCAATGAAATCCAGACCATGTTTTATCTATACTAGGGGTGCACAACCAGCGGCCCGCTGCAGGAATTTGAACTAAATAAAAAAAATTAGTTCCAATTTTTTTTCCTTTAAACAATTTTGGAAATTTTACGCTTATAGTCAAACCCCGCTATAGTGGACACGGCTCCCGGATATAGTGAACGAAATGCTCGGTCCCGTACCTTGCTATACACGTATAATGTTATTTTTAGTGGATATAGTGAACCAAAAAAGTGAGGAAGTTGGATATAATGAACTTTTTTCTGTCTTCGACTTATTTCCCCCCCCCCCATTTTCTTTGCAAATAATTTTGAAATTTCTACTTCAAAATAAATACATATCCCGATTTTTAAAACCATCTGTAGCAACTACTTTAATGTACTCGAATGGCAGGTTAGACAGGTTCAAAAAGCGGAATAACAGAAATTCAGGAAAAATTATCCGAGAGTCGGGAAGTGTTACCATATCTGATGTTGAGAACTGCTCATCAGCTAAAGATTACAAATTTTTTTTTGTACGCAAGACGAAGAGTGATGAAAAATAACACATTTTTTGCTACTACATAATATTCTTCAGTCATTTATATCAATATAATGTAATAAAAGGGAGGAGTTTGGGAACCATAAGTGAAATTGCCTGCGTAACGGATATAGTGAACTCCCGGTTATAGTGAACCGAAATTTCGGTCCCTTGAAGGTTCACTATAGCGGGGTTTGACTGTATAATCAAGTTTTGGATATATTCACCCAGTCTCAGTCAATGTAGTTTTTCTATCACTTTTTTCCGATAGTTAACGCTACGAATTTGCGAAAATTTTGAGAATCCTAAAATTTTTATTACATCATTATTACGATACACAAATTTCGAATTTTCGTTATCTCTTTAGACGCTCTTCATGTAGGCCAATTTCATCGTTAATTCAATGACTTTTAAGTAGTTATTGCTACCCATTCTCACGAAGTTTCTGGGGTACAGCTCTATTCATCCTGGGAAGTTCCTACCTGCGCTCAACCCCATAATTATCTCACACACCAACGTTAGATTAACTCCCCTCTTATCAGTTCAAGATCGACCTCCACATTAAAATTTTAAGCGTGTGCGCCAGAATAGCGAAATAAAGCCAAATCTAGATAGATGAAACTGTTGGCCGCCTTCTTATGAATGACGCGTAAAATAGTCGTCTTCAACGATTTATAGTTACAGAAATGTTGCAGCTAAGAACATACGTAAAATATGGCGATGCCGAATAAAAACAAGTACCAGTCAAAATATCCGTACATAAAAAATATTTCTTAATGTGTGTGTGTGTTTTTTTTTAAATTTAGAACTGTAATGTACAAATTATTTTGACAATTAAAAATTTTTTTCTTACATTTCTAATATGATTAATTATTAATATTTTAGGATGGTTGAATTCTGCTAATTAATTTTGTGAAAGTTTCCATGAATAATTTTTCTGAATTTAAAGAATTAATTTTTGAAAATTTTAATGTTGAAGTTATAAGTGCTGTTGATAGAGGATAAAAAATTAATCTGATCAAAACTATTGCAATTTATCATTTCTTAAAAATGTGAACATTTCTCTTTATCAATTGAATATTTTTATTTTCCGTTTCAAAAAGGCCAATTTCGATATAAATCTAGATAAATTAAACTGCAACAAGATGAGAAAAATACTATACATAAAGCTGCTTAAATTTTATTTATTTTTTCTTATTTTTTACTTTATTTTTCACTATTTTATTTTTCATTTTAAAAATCCGAAGCAAATAATATTTACTGTCAAGAAAATAAAATTTATTGTCAAGACATTAAAAAGAGTTTTTTATTTAGGAAAAAAAATTTATGCTTTTTTCCTTGATATGATATTTGCTTTAGAATTTCAAAGAAAAAAAATAATCCTGTGTCATGATTGTTTAGTCATATATAATTGCCTGACGTTGTGAATACATATATTTGCATGTCATTCTGATCCGAAGTTTCAATTTGCGAAATATTCCAAATTGAATCTTTTTTAAAATATTGTCATATTTTAGGACTCTGTACACACTAGAGCATGGGTCGCCAAACTTTTTTGATCATCGACCCCTAAATAATTTTTCGAAATCTCCATCGACCCCCATAAAAGTAATTTTCTATTAATTAAAATAAAACTCTATTAGATATTGTGCTTGTGCATTTATTTTATAATTTTAAACATTTATTAAAGCAATAGTACATTGTGTAACAATAGTTTTATGAAAAATATATTAATGTTGAAATTTAAATACCTTAATATTTATTAAGAAATAAGTAATTATAAATAAGTAGAAATAATAAGTAAAGTAACTACAGATATATTGCTTCTTAATCAATGAGATTGGTTTGCCTGGTGTTTTTTCGCAAGGTTCCATATATTGGGTTCAAAATTGATCAATTTTAATCTTAAATCCCCTCGAAACTCCACATTTAATTAATTTCTGTGATTTGTTAAGATTGAATTTGCGTGATTGAAACCGGCTTCAACCTTATAGGAACTTGGAAATGCTAGCATAAATGGTCGAGCTATTTCGTAAAGTTACATATATTTGTGCATTATATTTATATTTGTCCAATATTTGCTTATTGTCAAATTTTTAAAAAGCGTCTTTGCTTCAAGATTCTATAATAATTCAGCAAGCTCATCTTGCAGGTTGATGTCCACGTTTTCAATTTGAGCAGAAAATGGCACAATAATCCAATCAGGGATGTCAATGTTTTCCAAATCAACAAAACGCTGTTTAAAAT